GAGCCCCTTCTCTTAGGCACATTCCTCGCTGTGGGACACAGTACCGGACAGCCACAATTCAGAGGAGGAAAGTTCTACTTTGGCTCATGACTTGTAGGGGTTTCATTCCACCCCTGGCTGGCTCCAAGGCAGGGCAGGCATGGCAGACGGGCATGGCAGAGAAGCTGCTCCAGGTATGGCGGGCAGGAAGCAGAGGGACATCAGTGGAGGAGGGAGGGAGATGCAGCCTTCCAGGCCACACGCCCAGTGTCCCTCCCTCTTCTGACCAGATCCCCCCTCCTCATAGCAAACCAGCTGGAGCCCCCATGACCCAATCATTTTCCAAAAGCTCTGCCTTTGAGCACATGAGGGTTGGGGATGGAGGCATGTAGAGATAAATCATAACATCCCTCAACAATTTAAACTGGCCAGGCCCAGGGATGCAGGCCTGTAATCCTAGCTCCTGGAGGCTGAGGCAGGAGGATCATCTTGAGTCTGAGGACAGCTGGGCTACATAGTGAGTTCAAGGCCAGCCTAAACTGCATAGCAAGACCCAGTCTCAAACAAAGAAAAAACAAAAAACCCAATATACTATTAAAATTACTATCAATTTAGTTATGTCTTACCCTGAGCTTTAGACAAGTGAAACATGGGTAGTTCCTCAAAAGGTCTGAGAGCCAGAAATAACCTTTGTTCCCGCAGAAGTATAGACTGCTTTGAGCAATGTTAATGCTGTTAAATTGCTTGTATGTATAAGCGTTTGTGCCATGACAGTAAACACAGATTATCAACCAACACCACCTATGAGCCAGTGGTCATTCCGTCAACATAACCAAGACACTATGATTTTTCAGAGTAAGAAGCAAGTATTCTGAGAACGCAGGATTAGATAGGGCTTCAGGGGGTGATTTGGGGTACTCTATTTGTCTTGTTTTGTTTTTGTTTTTTTTCCAATACCAGGAATCAAACACAACCTTGCGCTTGCCAGGCAGGCGCTTTTGCCACTGAGCTATATCCCCAGCCCTGGTTTGGGGTACTCTAGAAACAGAAGTCACCCAGAAGAAAGGATGCAGAGAATGATAAGGGACTCTGGAGCCAATTTTGATATTAACTATAAAGTTGTTTCTGAAATAAGTACGTTGACGCTGGGGTTTGAATTCACGCTTCTCCCATTCAAAGGGTTACTGAGCGTTTACATTTAAAAATTTTTACAGTACGACACATCGCATTGATCTTTCAAAATACTCCCCCTTTGCTTCAAATACACTTGTCCCGTCATTCTTGCTATTTTCTGAAGTAAGTCTGGATGTCCTTTTCTGAGAGCCTTTATGAAGTGTGATCAAAAGTAGTGTGCGCTGCTGCCCAATGGCAGCCGTGGAAAGATGGGCTCATGAAAACATCACGGCGCGTCCTCACCCACCCTGCTCACTGGATGCAGCACCACGCAACTTTCGGCGCTTCCCCAAAGTCCAAGGGACCATGAAAGGTAAATGTTTTGAATCAATTCAGGGCATCAAGACAGCTACGACAGAGTAACTAAAGACACTCAAGAGTCCAGAACTACTTAAGAAAGTGGCAAGAAATGGGTGGTGTGTTCAATACGAGAGGGGATATTCTGAGAGGGATTAATGGCAATTCTTTTAGAGTAATAAATTTTATTTAAATTCACACTGTACTTTTTTTTCAGTTTTTCTCCAGTACCAGGAGTCGAACTCATGACCTTGCACTTGCCAGGCAGGCGCTGTGCCGCTGAGCTAAATCCCCAGTCCCCCACACTGTATTTCTTGATCACCCCTTGACTGTTGGAACCAAACCCCAAAGCAGGTGTATGAGATGGACTTTTGTGAGGCCATTAGGCCTGGAGGATTTGGTCCTCACGAATAGGATGAGAGCACTTAGAAAAGAGACCTCAGAGAGCTCATTTACCCCTTCCATCCTGTGAGGGTACGGCAAGGAGGTTCCATCTTTGAAGAACTGCGTAGACACCAGACTTCATCTGCTGGTGCCTTGATCTTGGACTTTCCATTCTTTGGAACTGCGAGCAGTTAACGTCTACTGTTTGGAAATTACACAGGCTACCGTATTTTATTACCACAGCCTAAATAAATGGAAAAGATAGTTGACTTTTTTGGGGGGGGAAGATGGGGCGACATAATAGGATTTGGTTAACGGAGGGGCACATTCTGAGACCACGCCATCAGGTGACTGCACTGTCAGGTGATCTCACCCGTGTGCAATCAGTGTACTTCCACAAACCTCAGCGGAATTGAGGTTGGCAATAATTTCCCTCTCCCATCAGCTTATCTTCCTTGTCAAAGTTCTTCAGTTGCCTTGGCATCAGCACCCACAGCCTGAACACTCACTTCCACATTGTTATGAGTGACAATTCATGAACCTTGGAAACCTGCAGTTAGCAGTAAATCAACATCCTAGTCTGGTCCAGCCTTTCAACACTGTGAATAAACTCTGCTTTCGTCATGATCTTCACGGTGCTGAAGATATACTTTGGTGTCCGGGCTTCAATTCGGGCTGTCAGTCTCTCCATGTCTGATATGGATTCTTCCTGAATTTCTGCTGGGCTCACTGCTTTCAATGAAGCAGATCCTTTACCAGCTCCTGTCACTTTATTCTAAGACCGAAGCTATGGTGGAACTAACTGGTGAGCAGTAAATAGCAGTGATCTGCCAGCTTCGTAGTCCTTAATCACTTTCTTAATTTCATTTCCAGGTCACTTGATGTAGCCTCTCGCTGGTAATATTAGCAATGGATTCTGTATGTTTATGTACCATGATGAACAAAATAAAAAAGGGACTAAAACAAGCACAAGAGAACACGATACATTCAAGATACTTGGTAAACATGCACTGTAGCAGAGTGTGGCTGGCCCCTGTGGGATGTGTGGTCTGCTGCTGGTTGAAACATCACTTATGAAGTGCATGGCTGCACTCTATTACATGAAAAATAAACAGAACATTTTGACATGCAACAACAGGTAAGTAGCAGTGATCTGCCAGCTTCGTAGTCCTTAATCACTTTCTTAATTTCATTTCCAGGTCACTTGATGTAGCCTCTCGCTGGTAATATTAGCAATGGATTCTGTATGTTTATGTACCATGATGAACAAAATAAAAAAGGGACTAAAACTGCCTTTACGGTGTGTGATGGCAGATGCTTCCTTGACCGTTCCCTCTTCCTATTTTCTCTACAAAAGAATTGTTCTGGGGGAGACGGCGGGTGGAGCACGGCTGAGGCCACAGCAAAGCCGGGATATGCTCCCAAATGGGCCCGCTGGCCTGGTTTCCTGACGAGTACCAATCCCATCTGAAGAACAAAGGCTTCTTCACATTTGGTTATGGCAAACGCAATTACACAAAATACAGGCTTGGAGCCAAAACTGGTTTTTAAAGTGTTTTTGACACTTGAAGGATTTCATTCCAAACTCTCGGTTATGTAATTACAAAATAAAAATCCACGTTTCAGGAAAACACCCTTAAACCTAACATAAGACTCATGTCATTTATCACAAAGTTAGACAGTCAACCGTATAAAGGAGAACCAAAACAGAAGCGGTATTTACAAGTTTAGACCACAGGAGACATTGTGAAGGATCTCTTGTTAATAAACAACACAGTACATACTTTTATACACGACATTTCAAAAATAATACAACTGTAAATAACCTGATAAAGGTGGTCGTGTGCGGATTTTAACTTATATTCCAAGTCACCGTGTTGAAGGCTTTAAATTCAAGGTTGTAGTGACAAAAACTTTAAATTCAAGGTCTAAGACTTTCAACTCAAGGACAGACTAAGAAAGGACAAGCCATTAGCATTGCAGTTTAGTCAGTTCCCTGTGAGGACGAAATATTAGGACTCACAAACTGGATTAGCCCAGTTACAAGTTTTGTTCCTTTGTCAACGACTCACAACAAGAAGTCTTTCCATAGGTCAGTCACGGCTTTTCTGTCCTTGGGCAGGTGTTTCTGCTACATTTTAAGTCCTTATTCAAAACCATTTTCTCCCCATTTCTGTACTTTTAAGTAGAAAATATTTTAAAACAAGGAAATTTCATCTCTAACTAGAGAACGATTTCTGCATTGACTCCTGGAAGAGGGGAAAGAAAAAAAGATGCCCGTTCTCTCCTCTACCTCAAAGCCACAAAGCAAACCGAAACAATCCAACTCCTAGCGTAGTGTCGCACGGGGCCCAGGGCCAGAGACAATATTTCATGCTAATCCCCTGCTATATGCTGAGCACAGTGTGGTTATTTACATTATTAAGAAATCTATTCAACAGGCACGAGCCGTCCCAGTGCTTCCCTCAGCAGCAGCCTGGCTAGAACAGGCGTGAGCAGCGGCGTCTGCGGATGGGAACGTCGAAGACTCTCCTCCGCCTCTCCTCCTCCTCCTCTTCATCGGATTCGTCCATGTCTGCTGAGTCATCATCGTCTTCCTCCTCCTCCTCCTCTTCTTCTTCCTCATCCATCTCTTCGTATCCATCAGGACCCATTTCCTTGAAAGAAAAAACAATCTTTTGATAAGAAGAATGCCCATCAAGTTTTCATAGTAATTTAAGGCAAATTTTTGGGGATCTAGAATACTAACAACCAGACAAGCCGTCTACCAGTTTTCCTGGGTTTGAACAGTGCAGGTTCACACTGCATACGCTGGTGCAAGGTTCTTGAGTGTATATTGTATCACATGCTCAATAATGCTCAGTGTGGCTCTGATGGCAAACACATTTCATCATTACTTAGTTCTGACATGGTGGGTGTTCGCTCAAGGTAGCAAATAAGACTGCTGTCTTCCTAAAGATCTAAGGTAAAGTTTTGCTGAACTTACCATAGCAATACATTAAGTAATTCTTTTAATTATTATTAACTTACATGCTTACAGAAAAGAGAAGGTGCAAATAGTCAGGTAGGACCTCTACTGGTAACTTTTATGCACTGTCAGCAAGAGGTCTGAAAGTTTTATTAAACGTCTACTACAAAGACATGTTTAAATTCAAACATCAGTAGCCTCTACTTTAAAAAAAATTATTTTTATTGTTTCAGTGGCTCAAACAACAGTCATTTATTGTCTCTCCTGGTTCTTGCGGTTGGGTATTTGGGGAGAACTTAATGGGGGAGCGGTTCTGGCTTGAGGTCTCTCATGATGTTGCCTTCGGATGGCTGGAACGGGCATCATCTCAAGGGAGTCTTCACTCACAAGCCTGGTACCAGGGCTGGGAGGATCCACGCATCTGGGGACTGAAACAGCTGCACACCTCCTTTTGTCGCTACGTAGCATCTCTACACGGTCTCTCCAGCATGGCGGCTTCAAGGTAGCTGGACTTCTTACATGGTAGGTGGCTCAGGACACCAAAGGCACATTCCAGGAGAGAGAGCTAGGCTGAAGGCACATTGCCTTTTCCTAACTTAGCCTCAGAATCAGTGTCACTTAGCTAACGCACTAGAGTCACTAATATCAGTCCACAGTGTAGGGCAAAGGTAGCCTCTACTTAAATTCACTTGTTTGTTTGCTTTTTGGTACCGGGAATCAAACTCACGACCTCATGCTTGCCAGGTAGGCGCTGTGCCACTCAGCTACATCCTCGGCCCTAAATTCACTTGTTGGAGGCTCTAGAAGAGGACGCAGTGGTACTGAACACAAGACATCTGAGCATCTCTTAGAAACTTTAGTTCCGGTTAGCACTGTCTAATCACACCTTCCCCTCATGCCCTGCCAGTTTTCTTTCCCACACAATTAAAGACTCAGTGAGAAGAGCAGCTACGTGGGACCTAGCTGGTAATCTGAGAAGCACTGGGACACAGAGCAGAATGTCAGCAAAAGCCCTTCTACCAAGGCTTTTATGACACCACACTTACCCAGCACCCACCGTGCCTCTAACCTCACCTCCAGCCGCTCTCCCGCTCACTGGCTGCACCCCTGCTACACCGGCCTCCTGTTTCAAACCAAGCCCACTCCTGTGTCCGGACCTCGGCACTTGCTGCTTCCGCCAAACACTCTTCTCCCAGGTGTCCCCCCGGCTCCCCCCGGTGCTTCTGTACCTCAGCTTACATGGCACCGCGGCCTGTTCTCACACGTCTTTCTATGAGAACCCAACAAGACGCTGCTCTTCTCCTGTACTTTTAGTACTTCTTACTATCTGGCATGAGTATATAGCATTTGTTACAGTTTGTCTCTTTCAGTTAGAACATAAATTCCAAGACAGGTTTCGATCGTACTGTTTCTACAGCACTCAAATATTTGTTGGAAGAACAAATGAATTAATGTAAAAGAAAGAAAATTGTGCTGCTCAGAATTTATTATAACACAACAATGATAATTAGAGAGTATAATTAGATAATTAGAGATACTCCATTGCTTGTATCTTTGGAAATAATTTTTTTAATTAAGGAATGAAGGCTTTAAGGTTCAGTAAGAGGTCCAAGAGGTGAGAAGGCAAAGACTTTGGACATGCTAAAATATGATGTCCAGGTGGTCTGGATATTAATTATGTTAATGAAGAAAACTGTTGGAGGAATCAGCGTCTAACAACAGGGAGAGAGAGACAGAATTTACACACTCACAGCAGGTGGAGAAAGGAACACAGAACAAGGACGGAAATAAGTAAGCAGCAGGAGCCTCTACCGGGCCGTCAAACAAGCACAACGAACGAGCCCACTGGACCGGGAAAAGGCACGTGACTAACCAAAGGGTGTATTCTGAAGTGGCAAAGTACAAAGAGAAAGGAAGTATGAAAGCATACTGGTAGAGGACAAAGTAGGAGAACGAGTCAATTTCCATGCCAAGAAAATATAGGAATAGGCAACAAATTGACAAATACAACCCCCAGTGCCTTTTTTTATGTTGATTAGAAGTCCAGAATTCTCTTTTCTGTTTATTGATTTCTCAGCTTGAGAGAAGACATTTTAAGGCAGGTCAAGATTTTATATGTTTACTTGTGGCTAGGAGAAAGCTAAACTCTAATAAATACATAATTAAGAGAGGGCTGAACATATAAACAGGGTTATTTACTGTGATATTAAAAGGAATTGTTAAGTATATATTATCCAACTTCTCAGCTTTAAATTCTAATATGGCAAGTACTGATACAGCCATGTAAACAAGAATTCTTTGGATTCCTCAGTAAGTTTTAAACATCCATGGGGACCATGGGACTGGAATGCTTGAGAACCACTGTTAACTAAAGACACTTTTCTACCTGCGCTAGTGTGAAAACCAGCCTCAAAAGGATCAAGCTGACCCAACAGGAGCTCCACTCCCTGCCTAAACAAACCTCAGTGCCCTTTAAACTTTAGGACAAGGAATGGTATCAGAGATGAAGAGAGAGAATGATAAAAGAAGAACTTCCTCAAAAAGACATAACAATCCTAAGCATATTTACACACAATTATAAAGCTTCCAGACACGTGAGGCAAATCTGATAAAACTAAATCTGACAATGCCAAAATTTTGGAAATTTCAACAATCATCTTTTCAGTAGTTGACAGAACAAAGATTAGAAAAAGCATAAAAATACAGATGACTTGAAAAATACTGTCAACCAACCACTTTGACCTGTATTTATAGAATAATATTCCCCCAAATGGCAGAATATACATTCTTTTCAAATACACAAAGATCATTTACCAAGATATGTAAATTCTTCACGTTGAGCCATAAAACATATAAAAGTATTAAAAATACAGAGTAAATTCTTTAATCACAATAAAATTAGAAATCAATAACCAAAACATAACTGAAAAGTTCTGAAATATTTGGAAATTAATACATTTCTAGAAAAGTCATGGACCAAAGTTACAAAGGAAATATGAGACTTATTTTGAACTAAATGTTAACAAACACATCAAAATTAGTGAAATACAGCTGAAACAGTGCTTAGAGAGGTGAAGTCTAGTAACGTCTACTTTATGAGCTAGAAAAAAAACAAATGAAACCCAGAGGAAGTAGAAGAGAAATAAAGACAGCTGCAGAAAGTAATGTAAAGGAAAGGACGCAAACCATAGAGAAAAATCAGTGAAATCCAAAGTTGTGTTCTTTTAAGTGATCAACAAAAGTGGTAATAATCACGTGATGAACAAAGAAGATATAAGTTACCAATATTAAGAACAGAAAAGGACATGTGACTATCGCTCTTGTAGCCATTAAAAGGATATCAAGGGAATACTGTGAACAACTTTATGCCAATAAATCAACATTTAGATGAAATGGACAAATTCCTTGAAAGGCACAAATTATCAAAACTGAAACAAGAAAAAATAGAAAATATGAATGTTAAAAAATTAAATTCATATTTTAAATTTTTCCCACAAAGAGAGCTCCAGTCCCAGATAGCTTTCCGGATGACTACCAATCACTTGAGGGTAACACGATACCAATCTCATGTAGATATTGGATTGGTCAAAAACTGAAGTCTGCTGCAGAAGTAGCAAACTCCTACAACTAACTGGAAATACAATTTCTAACATTCCTCATTGGGGAAGAGAGCTAAAACTTCACTTGCAAATCCAGACTGTATACCTTTTCACCATCCCACAAGTATAATGGTCTAAAGGCTCATCACCACCCTTTCCTCTCTAAATTGGACTTGAGAGTGTGTCGTCTCAGGACAAGGATAATATCATATCCCAGACTTATTTCAGACCCACCCATTAGGACCATCCCAGGAGTTAAAGAGCATCTTCTGAATATTCAATGTCTACAACTCAGTTGCGTTTAGGATACACAATTCATATTTTATTCCTATTACATGACCCAAGCTTCATAACTTCCTCTAACCATTTCAGTTCATAAGATTGGGGTTATTGTTAGACCTGTCAAAAGTAATCCTAAAATGGGTTTTAAAAATATACCTTATTGACTGGAGAAAGGATCTCTAGAAGAGAGTGCTATAAAAGTACAAGCATACCCATTAAATCCTCTTTGTAATGATCTTTATAGGACGATTATTTTACTTAACTGGGAGTTTAAGCAAAAGCACAGCAGGAAATGTTTTCCTAGTCTTAATGAAATAAAGGCAAGCCAGTTCTAATGTGGTATATCTCATATTCTAATATATCTAGGCCACAGGACTGGTTTTGGAGACAGTGGAAAAGTCGAATCTTTAAAACAGGTAACAGCAGAGTTTCTCCGGTTGAAGAGCGCAGAGCTTAGTTTACCTGCTGTTCACCTCTCCCAACATATTCACTTGCTCCCCTGTCTCAGTGTCCAGGACTCTCTGGAATTCATTTATGAACCACTTATCTGCCTAAACAAGGATGCTTTGTAGAGTGAATTCTACATAGTTACATAAATCAGCACTAAAGAAAACTTAACTTACCAATCGGGCTATAGACACCCTGAATGTCGGACATGCCATATGGAAGCGAGGAATGGCAACATTAAAGATCTTGTCTTTAAAGTAAAGAAAATGGAAGGTATAATAGCCTTCCATATATCCTGATGTTGTAGAGAATGTGGTGCAGCTTGTATATTCATATACCCGGCCTGGGCTGATGATTGGAAATTCACCTGCGGAGTAACCAAGAACAATAAAACAAGGAAGAAAATTCAGCTCATGACAGTAAATGAGATGTATTCTCTCTTATAACACTATGATGTCAATAATGTCAAAGTAAATGTACAGTTAGGAACAGAACCTAAAAAGAAATAAAGCAAAATGTTAACAGTGATGGGATTATAAGCAACTATTTTATGCCTCTTGATGTATCTTCTGATTTCCTAAATCCTCTACAAAGTAGTAGGTAAGTAACATCTAATAAAACAAAACAAAAAAGACATTTTTTTCCAAAGAGCTTTCAGGCTTTGAAGATAAAAATTTTTAAGGCATGAGTAATAAAAGATGTCACATAGTAGCTCAAGCACAAATAAGGGGAATCCAATTGTTTACCAGTTGCAAGAGACTAAAATATAAAGTTATGAAGATGCACGCTAAGAATTTGGACCAGACAAAATGTCAGTCACGGAAGAGGTCGTCACACCAATGCACCGAATGACAAAAAAGAATTATGACTTTAATAAAATTCCTCAGCACCAGATAGCACCAGATTTTCAGGTAAGTCTAAGCACGGCAATAAATTAGAGAACTTTAAAGTGAATTCTGCAGATGCTTAGGACCTGTAACAGAAGTACATGTTATTTTCCTGAAGCACATTTTCAACCCTGAAGAGTATGATAGTTCAGAAAACCTTTTTTAAAATGTCAATGATAATTTGGCTTAAAGTAAATAAAACTGAAATAACAAAATCTGTTATTTTAATTTGAAAATCTTCCCCCAAATTAAAAAAAAGAATTACTCAATATGAGATTTATTTCTGTCCTATGCATCTAACCCAAAGAATGTGTTATTACATTAATAGTTAACCAGTTTAAAAAAAAAGAACAGAAAAAGCTAAGAAACTCCAGGTGGTCCAGAGAAAGGCAAATCAATACCTGAATAACTGAGTTTGCTATAATTTTAGAAAAGTTAACATTTAAGGATAAAGCTTATAGGCTAACAACCTCTATACTTTCCATTTCTGGATGTAAATGGTAAAATTTCTTTGAAGCGATTGATGCACAAACCTAAATGGTGGGTTACATACCAACGACTCCAGGCCCTTGAACTTCCTCCACATCTCCTTTAGCGTTTGTTATTCTCCAGTAGCGACTGTCCAACTGACAAGCCTTCTCAGGAAGTGCATCCTTTGACATTTCAATCCTGGAGAAAGGGGTGGTGTGGTAAAGACACAAATCTGTCCTATGTGCTTTGCTTTCTTTTGTTTAAAAGCTACAGAATTATGGTCAACACTACGGAAAGAAATTTTCAAAACACATCAAAGTCTGTTAGACATTTATTTTCCTAAGTTCTCAAAGATACTGCCTTACTTAGCTACAGAAATGCTTTCACTCTGGGCTGGGGATTTAGCTCAGCGGCACAGCGCCTGCCTGGCAAGCGCGAGGTCGTGAGTTCGATTCCCGGTACCAGGAAAAAAAAAAAAAAAAGAAAGAAATACTTTCACTCAATTTACATACTTTCAGTGAGGAACAACGTAGAAGGGCACGTAAATATGTGCAAACACCATGGTGACAGCAATCCTACTTGGCAAATGTGCTCTAGAATATAGTGCCTGAAAACCTTCTAAAGAACAGTCTTTTATGCACAACAAAACCACGTGACCTAGTTCTTTTTTCCATTAGCTTCTATAAAGCTCAAAGTAAAATGACACAAGTTACTGGGATTACACTTTGACTGTTTCCTCATACTATCATTTCTCCTTTTCTCTAGGAATCTGCTCTCTTATTTTCATCTTACATACCCTTCCCTATAAGCACATGCGGGTGATTTTATTTTAAGCATGCTTCAATCCTAGGCAGGATCTAACCTGAACAATTAAATAACAAACATTTTTACCTATACTTGGACATACGAAGGCTATGTACAATACACAAATCCCATGATGCTTCCTTGGTAAGTATATATTACTAAAGTATTTGTAGGATGTATGCATATTGTGTACATATGCCATACTATAAAATATATAAATATGTATTTTAAAATAAAGTATCTGCAACCCCTTGGAGTAATGAGTTGTCCTTATATCATAGCACAGAATACTTCTAACTAAAGTGAATGTAAAATATTTGTTTCCTTTTAATCAATCCAATGCCTCACACCATGTATGACAAACATGAAGTACTCAAAGAACATTAGATTTTTAACTGCATATAGGTGAGTCAGGTGCAATTTAAAATGCATGGCTTCTGCGGCACGAGTGCTGTTGCGCACCGGCCCTTAGGCCGGCCGCCGCCGCTCAATTGAGAACTATCATGACACAGAGAATCAATGACACAATTGGCCCACCATGCACCGGCTGCAGATGCCCACCTAAGGACGGGTGTGAATCATTCAAACATGGACATGGAAAATCCCCTGGGAATACATGCTATACAACGGGACACTCTTGCTCCTGCCACTGAGAACCAGAAAGGTCCAGAGTCAGCAGAGGAGCAGCTGCTGAACAAGGACTCAGAGAACATGAGAATGCACACTAAGCCCAAGAAGTCAGAGGCCTGTGGACTGGGGTCACGAGAGCTGCTCGGAAGCTGTAAACCAGGAGGATCTTGCACAATACTTGCGGAGACTCCCTAGAAGTCATTCTTCCCCTGACAGTACAGGCTGTGGTGGAGCTCCGGAGAAGTCTGCAGCAGGATTCCT